ATATGAAACTAACAATAATTGTATACAGGTAGTCTGAAATAATATATTTAATAGTACGACTATGGATTTATTAACATAATTTTATAAATAAAAATCGCTATAAAATAACTATGATTTATTATAATTGTCCAAGTAATAAGTATCAGTAATCGTCAAACATGTATAAAACTATATGAGTAACAAATTAGAGAATAATGAAAAATAATATGGTAGTTGTTTAGGAACTAGAAATAAAAACTCAATATAAGATATATTTTATTTAAAACATTATTTCAATATTAACTAGTGTACTTTTGAACATTCCAGTATCAAATTCAATTATTGAACTTTATGAAAACCTGGTTACTGGTGTCTACAAATGATAACTTATATAGTTATATCATAATTCCAACAAGTAAGTAAACAAAAAATGCAATATGCTAATAGGTTTCCAATTTACATGATAAAGACATTCCGTGTTATCTAAATGTAAATTCCCATCAAATTGATTGTGAAAGCGCTGGTAATAATTATAAACTATAATAGACACAGAACTTTAATATTACCAATTTATAGATAAAATAATTTCAACGTTTATACAATGTTTGAATGGAGTATTATGCACTTAACTAACTATTATTTATTATAGGTTGTTACCTTTGGTTAAAATGAGAGTCTATTAGAGTAATATTTACGGACATTGACACTTATATTTTTAATAGTACTAACATTATTTCATAGTACATAAGCAAATACTAACTTTAAGTTTCATCACGTAATTTATACGATATTTATTATTATTTTGCAATATAACCGCATATAAATAATACAATAATATATTAAGCCGTTTAGCTAACGTATTAACTTTACCGGTTATTGCAAAAAACACGCTAATTATTGACATTGTTAAACAAATAAACAAGTAAAATGTGAGCTTGATGAATGAACTCATTTCATCACCAAATTCGACCAGCATGGAAATTAATATCGCTATTACAATGATAAATAGTAACCATACGGCTAATAATGTCAGGCAAAACGTGTTATTTAATAAATGTATCGTCATTAATTTAATATGTATATCGTACAATAGTTTATGTAAACCAAAATTGGAAATAACTCTGCCTTGTTTGTTGAGCAACTTGGTGATTTTTGAATTAAAATTGCGTAATTCTAAACTAGCTAACTTGCTACACATTATAATAAATGTGTAGTGAAATAACGCCGAAATACTCATATAAGCAAAACTAATGCTAAATACTATACTCCATAATAACCCTAATGTCGATAAGTATAATATTGATTGATTTGTTGAATACAGTGTCACAAATGACATAAGAAATGATACAATAACTTCGCTAACAACGATTAAATTATAGATAAAATTAATTGTTCTAGTTCGGAGTTTAGAAACTTTTAATCCAGAAATGTAATAAATAGTTATCACTCGTTGAATATATGCCAGTTTGTAATGCGATATAATTTTAAAAATGATTAAACATTGTATATAACAATTAAGTGTAAAAAACTTAATATAATACTTAAAACGCCAATAATATGCAAAATCGCCGGTAATTATAGCGAACCACTCGTTAGATATGTATAGCGAGAGCAATGTTTTCATTATTTGTATAAACATTGTTATATTCAATAAATTAGTTACAGTTTTGTTACGATTAGGAAAACTCGAGCAATATTTTGCAAAACCGTTTTTATAGTTTTTATATGCGATTAAATAAATCCATTGAGTAGTTATTGACAACTTCTTGTCCATTTTAATTTGAACTAATTTATTAAATTAAAAATTTAAATAACACGTTAATTTAGCAATTTATATTCATACAAACTCTGCACATTTATGTGATTTATAAATTAGATAAATTATAATTGTATCATAATAAATAATTATTATTAAAAACAATTTTATGATGTCAAAATTACGCATCTAATATTATTATAAACTTAATCATTTGTTATCAGGTTTAGCATCTATTACATTTAAGTTATTTTTCTATTTATAATTAAACAATTATAAAATTGTTAACAATAATGAATTGAGCTTTATAATAAATAAAAATTTTCATTATACTAAAAATAATTTTAATATATTTTATTGAACCTGTGTGATTTCTAATTATGCGCTATCAGTCCGATACCAAATAATCACCAGGTTAGCATTACCCAGCTATGCCTATAACCTTTATATGTATAGTTATACTGTATAATAATATATTTATTTATATATTATATTTTAGCTGACGATTATAATTGACCTGAAGTACTGTTCCTATTATTGTATGGTAAGCGTACAAACGCTGATAAAATGTTCCCGGTAATGCTTACTAGGTAAGTATGAAATAATCAAGTACGGTACATAACTGTTGCATGAAATGTTAAAATTTCACACAAACTCATATATCATATCAATAACTTTACTCTGTTTTTATTACAATTGTATAAAACATACCTGTATTTTGTAGTATAATTACTTGATGCTATACTATCCAAACGTTTGCATAAAATGTCCAAATTTTATATCACGTTTTCAATGGTTATTCAATGGATGGCTGTTTGAACTGACACTAACGATGTGTTTTTATCACCATGCATTAAATATCTAAAATAGTATTATATATTTAATAGATTATATTTTATTAGTTTCAAATAGCGATTAATTATAATAATATTTCCTTCTGGTTGCATAATATATTTTTATGTTAAAAAATATTATATTATATTTTATTTGTTAGAAATAGTAATTATATTTATATTTCCTTTACAATTGCACGATATATTTTTCTAGATGTCAAGAAAAAATCATTTTTATAAATAAATAATGACTATTAATCGTATTTATATTTCACAACTAATTAACTGAATGTATTTTTCAAATATCTAGATTCTAGAACAATATATATTTAAAATTTTGTTTGTAAACAACATCATTAATCAAATTATGTTTATTATAATTCATTATTATATACATTAAGCACAACATGTTTTGTCGTGAATGCTTTAATAATACCATGCTAATTAACTTTTATAAGTATTTACAACTATTATTAATAGAATTACTTAAATGTACCATTTTATGTTTATGTTTATTTACACATACTGTACATACTTATGCAAAATTATTTAGTGTTAAAAAGGATTTTCATACATTATAGCATCAGTTCAAAAATGTTGCTTTATTTTATAAATAAATCCTAACTAATTATATTACATATTATATTTATTTTTGTATTTATTATAATAATACTGTTTAATTACTCATAAGTTAAATTATTGCTTTACTACATATTGCATTTTTACAATAAAGTACTTAATTTTTACTTAAGTCAATGAATAATTATAAATCTATTATAATTATGATAAAATGTGTTATTTTATCAGGTTAAACGTCAATTTATGTTTTATCTATAATTATAAAAATTGACAAATAGAGCCAAGGTGCTAAAAATTGTATCGTTCATATATTTATATAATTATGACTTAAATAGAAATAAATACATACCCCAGATTGTATAATCTTGGCAGTTCATATTTGAACTAAAGTTATATGTTCAGCGTATAATCAGTGAAATGAACATGATTAGAAATCAAGTGCTATTTAAGTTCTAATTTGCAATATTACTATGTTGCTATGCTTAAGAAAATTAGCCACGTTCATAATTAGTTTTGCATAATAAAACACTCTAGTTAAATTGTATGCTGTTTTTATCAATGATATTCTATAATAAGTAAATTAAATAAAATAATTTATAAATTTGTAATAATGTCATTTATTTTGTAAATAATTTAATTACAATGATTTTAGTAAATGTACTTTAATTAATGTTTGCGTGTACTTAAACTGTTTAATACACTTGAATTAATCTTAACTCTGCGATTAGATAATGTCCAAGTTCATATATTATTAAGTGAGTGAGAAAGTCCAATAGCATCTATAGATAACAATATGGTATAAATAGTGAAAGTTTAATATTAGTTGAGATCACACCATAACTTTTTACATAATATTGTAATAATCAAAGTGAACAAAATTATTTTTACTTCAAATTATTATTAAAACTACATTAGTAATAATAAAGTAAAATGGTTAAAAAACAACTCAAAGCCCTATTCATACCGTTGGACGGTATCGGACACGTGAACGCATGCATTGGTATAGCCGAGTCGCTGATAGGGGCCGGACATCGGGTGTCGTTCCTCATGAATACCCAATGGGAGGGCAAACTCAAGCACTACGGTATCGACGAAATACTATACCCGAGTCTAAGTGGTCGTAAACCGGGCGGCAATCCAGCGCTCGAGTGGGCCCGTGAGCTGCAAAAGTCGGGCATTATTGGCCCAAATGGGTCACTAGACAAAATGGTTGCCTGGGTGACCAAGTTTATTCCCGTGTTTATCCGAGATTCCCAAGCAATGGATAAATTGATTGATAAGACTATTGCTGAGTTACGGCCGGATGTGATATTTTTGGATCAGATTATAACCATGGCGTCGGTGGAGCGCTCGGGTATACCCTGGGTATGGGTTTGCAGTTATAACCCGTTGTTTCATTTGGAGGATATACGGACCCCACCCGCCGGTTCAGGTATGCAAATTAGTTTGTTATGTAATTGTTGTAGATATTTATTTATTATTATGATAACATTTTACTATTATAAATGCTCATAGATTAAAAACTTATAGATTCATTCATTTAAAAATATTTGCGTCAAATTTTTTCCTGATAATTACTTAGTTTAAGTATTTTACTTTATAGAATTGCTAAATATATTAAATATACATTGTTATAAAAATAAAACAGTAATAACAAATAATCCGATTTACAGAATTATGAATTTTTACTTTTTACAAAATAATTAAAGTATATATGATTTACTTCAATTTTGTTATTAATGAACTAATGATGCTATTTTATTTTATTCATAATTTCAATATGATTGCAGGTTTTGCAACCAATGGTGACCGTAAAGAATGGGCGCACTTTCGGCAAACTGTAAACGAGGCCACGAAAGACATATGGCGTGAGTTTAATGACTATATTGTGGGCAACGGTTTACCACCGCTTGACTATTGCCAATACATACGCGCGCCGACACATCTACACATATACCCACTGCCCGTTGAACTGGACTACACAGACCTGAGACCAGTGCCCGACCGGTGCCTACAATTGGACAACTTGATGCGCAAAGATGTGCATGCTAGTTTTACATTACCTGACCAACTAGCCAATAAACCAGGCAAATTGATCTATGTCGGTTTAGGCTCAATGGTATTGTCCGATCTAGATAATACTAAACGCTTAATGGCAATACTGGCCAAATCAAAGCACCGGTTCATTGTATCGAAAGGTCCGCATCATGATAAGTACGAGTTGCCGGGTGCTAATATGTGGGGCGCCCAAACTGTGTCTCAGATACAGGTGTTGCCATTAGTTGATCTGGTAGTAACCCATGGTGGTAATAATACGGTTACTGAGACTTTATATTACGGTAAGCCAATGGTTGTGCTGCCGGTGTTTGCCGACCAGTTTGATAACGCACAGAGACTGCATGAATTGGGCTATGGTATACGATTAGATGCCTACAAGTGCTCTGATGCTGAGCTATTGTGTGCTATAAATAAGTTGCTTAATGATAACGAGTTGAACGCAAAGTTGTCTAAAATAGCCACAAGAATACAGTCCGATGATAAAATTTCACAAGTCCCAGGGTTGATTGAAAAATTATGCAATGGTGATACTAATCGGCATAAATAAATTATTATAATTAAAAAGTGTTTGCGCAAAAATATTGGTGAAAATGCCAAAAATTTTGCATTAAAAATTTTTACCAATTTTTATTCCACTAATTTAATTATCTTACTAATTGCAATTAAAATTGATGTGAGTGGAGTAAAACAATTAAGTGACTAATCATATAAATCGTATACAATTATCACAAAATTTCTTATTTTTCAAATAACTTTTTCTAATTAAACCCAAATTTAAAAATTCCTTCGAAATTACATTCCTCTCATCCATACCCTTCTATCGATATATAATATGACATACTTATTCATAAACTAAAGGATTTGATTTTCAAAATTTTGCCGATAAAAGTGACCATATAATCTTATTATTATTCTGCAATAAATATTGTCAATATTTTTAACGTAATCGTATTACGTTAATTGTAATTTATAAACCACATCGCTCTCTCTCTCTCTCTCTCTCTCTCTCTCTCTCTCTCTCTCTCTCTCTA